GGAAGGGTTGGGTTCTCCAGCCACGGAAGTTCCTTCTGGAAAAGTCTTGGAAAGGTCTTGGAAGGGTTGGGTTCTCCAGTCATGGAAGTTCCTTCTAGAAAGGTCTTGGAAGGGTTGGGTTCTCCAGCCATGGAAGTGTCTGAGAAATTCCGAAGTTCCTTCTGGAAAGGTCTTGGAAGGGTCTTGGAAAGGTCTTAGAAAGGTCTTGGAAAGGTCTTGGAAGGGTTGGGTTCTCCAGCCATGGAAGTTCCTTCTGGAAAGGTCTTGGAAGGGTTGGGTTCTCCAGCCCTGGAAGTTCCTTCTGGAAAAGTCTTGGAAGGCTTGGGTTCTCCTCCTGGAAGTTCCTTCTGGAAAGGGTTGGGTTCTCCAGCCATGGAAGTTCCTTCTGGAAAAGTCTTGGAAGGGTTGGGTTCTCCAGCCCTGGAAGTGTCTGAGAAACTCCGAAGTTCCTTCTGGAAAGGTCTCGGAAGGGTTGGGTTCTCCAGCCATGGAAGTGTCTGAGAAATTCCGAAGTTCCTTCTGGAAAGGTCTTGGAAGGGTCTTGGAAGGGTCTTGGAAAGGTCTTGGAAGGGTTGGGCTCTCCAGCCATGGAAGTGTCTGAGAAATTCCGGCAGAGGTCTCCAGTTGGGATGGGGTTGGACATTTGGAATTCCTTCTGGAAAGGTCTTGGAAGGGTCTTGGAAAGGTCTTGGAAGGGTTGGGTTCTCCAGTCATGGAAGTTCCTTCTAGAAAGGTCTTGGAAGGGTTGGGTTCTCCAGCCATGGAAGTGTCTGAGAAATTCCGAAGTTCCTTCTGGAAAGGTCTTGGAAGGGTCTTGGAAAGGTCTTAGAAAGGTCTTGGAAAGGTCTTGGAAGGGTTGGGTTCTCCAGCCCTGTAAGTTCCTTCTGGAAAGGTCTCGGAAGGGTTGGGTTCTCCAGCCCTGGAAGTTCCTTCTGGAAAGTTCTTGGAAGGCTTGGGTTCTCCTCCTGGAAGTTCCTTCTGGAAAGGGTTGGGTTCTCCAGCCATGGAAGTTCCTTCTGGAAAAGTCTTGGAAGGGTCTTGGAAAGGTCTTGGAAGGGTTGGGTTCTCCAGCCCTGGAAGTGTCTGAGAAATTCCTTCTGAAAGTTCCTTCTGGAAAGGTCTTGGAAGGGTTAGGTCTTCCAGTCATGGAAGTTCCTTCTGGAAAGGGAAGGGTTGGGTTCTCCACTCCTGGAAGTTCCTTCTGGAAAGTTCTTGGAAGGGTTGGGTTTCTCCAGCCCTGGAGGTGTCCCTGGAGGTGTCCAAGGAATTCCTGCCAGGGTTGGATCTTTGGGATGATTCCCCATGGGAAAAGGGTTGGGAACCATCGTGAGGAGCTCGGGGAAGGTCGGACCCCCATCCCTGGAATCCCTGGAATCCCGGGAATCCCGGGATGACTCCGGGTGACCGGACCGGGCGCCTCCGGGACTCGCTGAGCCCAAACCCCATTTCCGCCTGCGGGATTCGGGGTGGGATTTTGGGGCTGGTGGCTCCTGTCCCCAACCGCTGTCCCCGCAGAGGTGCTGCCCGTGGGGATCATCGCCGGGGCCACCATCGGCGCCAGCGTCCTCCTCGTCGGCTTCCTGGCCGCCCTCGCCTGCGTCCTGTACCGGCGCCGCAAGGGAAGTGAGTCGGGGACACGCGGGGATACGCGGGGGACACTCTGGGGACACTCGGGGGTCACACTGGGGTCACTCTGGGGTCACTCTGGGGTCACTTGGGTCAGAGTGGGAACACTCAGGGGTCACTCTGGTCACTCTGTGGTCACACTGGGGGCAGTCGGGTCACTCCGGTCGCTCGGAGGTCACTCTGGGTGTCTCTGTGGGGGTCACTGGTCACTCTGGGGTCACTCGGGGGTCAGTTGGGTCACTCAGGTCACTCTGGCCACTCTGTGGTCACACTGGGGACACTCCGGGACACTCGGGGGGCACTCTGGGGTCACTCTGGGGTCACTTGGGGGCACTTGGGTCACTCTGGTCACTCTGAGGTCACTCTGGGGTCACACTGGGGACACTCCGGGACACTCGGGGGTCACTCTGGAGTCACTCTGGTCACTCTGGGTGTCTCTATGGGGGTCACTCAGTGCTCACTCTGAGCTCACTTGGTGGTCACTCAATGGTCACTCAGTGCTCACTCAGTGCTCACTCAGTGGTCACTTGTGGTCACCCAGTGGTCACTCAATGGTCACTCAGTGGTCACTTGGTGGTCACTCAGTGCTCACTCAGTGCTCACTCAGTGCTCAGTGCTCACTCAGTGCTCACTCAGTGCTCAGTGGTCACCCCATGGTCACTCAGTGCTCACTCAGTGGTCACTCAGTGCTCAGTGGTCACTCAGTGCTCAGTGGTCACTCAGTGCTCAGTGGTCACTCAGTGGTCACTCAGTGGTCACTCGGTGCTCACCCCCGGTCCCCCGCCAGGCCGCAAGGACGTGACGCTGCGCAAGCTGGACATCAAGGTGGAGACGGTCAACCGGGAGCCGCTGACGCTGCACGCGGACAGGGAGGAGGACACGGCCAGCGTCTCCACGG